CCCATACTTCACCCCAGCTCCAAAGTGTAGGCATAGGAAAATGCACTCTGTTTTTTTCCTGCAAGCAACTCGGAGATGCGCGAGACAACTCCAGCAGAAGCTGGCAGGAATCCCGCTCTCCAAGCCTTTTACAACCAAAAGAGCTTAGCAATTAGCAAAATAACAAAAAAAAAATGTCAAATGCATTTTTGATGCTCTGAAGTTGCTGAGATTTTAAACAAACAGCCTGGGCTGCTCCCACACACTGAGAGGTCTATGCACCAGCGACGTAGCAACAGCACCACCGCATGGGGTTCTTCAACCCCTACAGCACTCAGACTCGGTCATTTACAGTTTGCTCCGCAGAGATTAGCACCGTGGTGGGATTGATTTGCAGCAGAGCATTGATTACATGGTTGTCAGCAATAATGTGTGTGATGTGAAGGTGATATTTTTCTCCAAGCCTTGTCAGGTTAGCTTTTGAAATCTGAAATCCCAATTGGGAATAGCTGGATGCTTGGTCTGTCCCTGGACCCGTGTAGGAATACTCAAGGTCAAACAGGCTCCTTGCTTATTAAACCTTTATAATGCTTGCTGGTTGTACTTGTTTGCACCCACAGATCTCAAAACACTTCCATTGTGATGCAGGGGTCATAAGCCTTATTCACCATTAGAGGAAGAAGAGGCATAAAGAAGGGAAAGCACATGCCAAAGTTCCCTCAGTGACAGAGCCCCTAAGATTTTTCCTCTTTGCCCAATGTTCTGCTCTTAATGACATCGCCAGTCTTCGTTGCTGGACTCTGGAAGATGTCTCTAGCCTTGCCTCAAAATGCTCTGAAGCTTCCTTGAACAGTAAAACTAGATGTAAATCCTTGCAGTGTGAGCTAGACCATGACATGAAAAAATATTAAGCATCTACAAATGTAGTAGCTGGAGCCTATCTCTGCTGGCAGTCAAGGGCAGCCCTGGATCAGCAGAAATCACGTTTCCTTCTGTTGGGTCAGTGTCTTGCCTGTCCATCCCAAGACAAGTGCAGGGGAGGGTAGAAAACAGCTAAGAGGTTGATAAGAAATTCTTCAGGCTGACATAGGGGACATATTGTGACCTTTTGTCACAAGCAGAGCAAAGTCTGCCTGTAATCACATGCACAGTTAGAAGAGGGTACACAGGACTAGCTACTCCAGCTCCTCCTGACTGCTCTCCACCCGTCCATCCATCCATCCATCCATCCATCTCGGTGGACATCTGTATATCTACTTGTTTTTAAATCTTTCTCTCCTCTTATCTATCCATCTATCTTCCTGTCTATCCAATCACACGCCTCATTTAGGATCCGTTCTTTCCTCCTCACAGGCAAGTTTGTAATGCAATTTGCCTTACTGACATTTAATGACACAGCCTCATTTATTCCCCACCCATTCTGACTGGGGACAGTTCAGTATCCCTGAGGCAGCTTGCATACCCAGGAGCGCAGCTGTGCAGCCATAAGAAATTCTCACTTTCTGGCCACTAAAATGTATGATAGTACATCCCACAGCCCCACAACCTGGGTAGATTTGCAGATATCACTGCAGACAGCACCAGCTGCACACATACCAAGCACCTTCCAGGAGTGGAAAAGTCAATAACATTCCCTCAACCTTCACACGGGTACTTCAGAACATCCTGAAAAGGAGCTGCAGGCCACGCTCATGCTGAGCAAGCAATGCAGTGACCTCTCTTCAGGGCTGAGCAGCCTTGGACAACAACTCCTCTCATTCTTACATTTAATTCTGCCTTGGATTAAAGCATCCAAGCAGGTATTACACCTCTGAGCTCGGAAGATGGAGACGCTGTGTGATCCCCTGAGGATCTGACTCTTTCAAGGACTGCAATTCATTCATTCAGTGTGTGGAACTCCATTTCAGTTTCTTCTTTGCTGAATTCTGTTTTGTTTTGTTTTGTTTTCTCTCTTCTGCTCATAAAAGACGTCCCCATGAAAAAAAAAGGCGGCCTGCAACGGAAGTCTTAATGTATTTGCTCTGTCTTCTTGCATTTTTCCGTCCAGTCTCTTCAGACCACCTAGCCAAATCCCTGCCACAGCCCAAGAAATGGAAGTAACTTTCTTTTGCGTTCAGAGACACTTGGTATCACTGTCCAGATTTCCCAGGCACCATTACATCTGTTGCTGTTCTTGTCCTCAAATTTCCAGCTCAAGCCTACCACCATGATCCAGCCCCTCAGTGTGACCTGTGACACCATACTCTATACCATGATCCACCACCACTTTCTCTGCCTCACACCTGCCAGGTGAACCAGGATACAGCAAATATTGGAGCCCTCTTTTCCTCCTTTCTTAACATAAAAGTCCAGTCCTGTATCTATCAGGAATCTGCCTTGACAACATAAAATATTTTAAAAACCCACCCAAACAAAAAAAATAAGTTATTTGTAAACATCCTTAGATTCCCAGGGAAATAAACGGTCTTTTTCAATGCAGTTAGATGAACTGGGGATTTTATAACATTAGGAAAATAAAAAAATACCACGCACACACACAGGCCTACGGACAAGTGCGTGTTAATGCATGTATAATAAATCTAACGGAACACGTCTGCCATCTTCAGGAGCCGAGTGGGAACTACACACAAATGTTGGAGAAAGCAGAAGAAACGAATGATGTAGGGATACAGGAATCTGGAATATTGTGTCCAGTTCTGGGCCCCTCAGTTCAAGAAGGACAGGGAATTGCTTGAAAGAGTCCAGCAGAGCCACAAAGATGATGGCGGGAGTGGAGCATTTCCCTTATGAGGAGCAGCTGAGGGAGCTGGGGCTCTTTAGCTTGGAGCAGAGGAGACTGAGGGGTGACCTCATTCATGGGGATCAATTTGGAAAGGGCGAGTGTCAGGAGGAAGGAGCCAGGCTCTGCTCTGGGATGTCCAATGACAAGACAAGGGGCAATGGGAGCAAGCTGGAGCATAGGAGGTTCAACCTAAGGAAAAACTTTTTTACTGTAATGGTTACAGAGCATGGCCCAGGCTGCCCAGAGAGGTTGTGGAATCTCCTTCCCTGGAGACATTCAAAACCTGCCTGGACATGTTCCTGTGTGACTGCTCTGGTGATCCTGCTATGGTTGGGTGAGCTTTCGAGGTCCCTTCCAGCTCCCAATATTCTGTGTGATTCTGTGTGAATTACTGGGTTCTCACACAGCCTTGGGCTGCAGCCAAGCAGGACTGGGACACGGACAGGCTCTTAACTGTGCACATCTCTTTTACAGCACCAGGAGTCTTGGTCTTCACTGGTAACCCTGATGCTATCAGAAAAAGAACAAAAAGAAATAAGAGTACAAGGAGAGCTTGACTGACAGCAAGTTAAGCTGCTGAGAACAGAGAGAGCACTTCCTCTTCTTATCGATGAGTTGCTTGAAGGAAGGAATATTTAATTCAGGGCCTGGGTGGATTTGATGGGGGGACCAAGTTGTGATTTCCCTTTTACCCTATTCTTCCCTGCCATAAGGAACCAAACCCTACAGGGACAGTCATAAGGGATTAAATAATAAAAATAACTTTAAATATCTCAGCATAAGGACCACCAGAATCTGAGAACATATTGACACTTTTTTAATGCAGATATATCTTAAAAGTTGGCTATAAATTAATTAGCCTGCCAAATATGATGAAGCAAAAGTCAATAGACACAAAAAGAAGATGTTGCGTTGGGTTTGTTTTGTTGTTTTTTTTCTTGTTAAACAGAAGTTCGAGAGTCCAAGGGGAAGCACTGCAGATCCCCACCGAGGGAACAGAATTTTCAAAATCATACCCTGCACCAGATTCTCCACTGGTGTAAATCAGGGCAGTGCCATTCACTTCAGCAGACTTAGGCTGGCTGACCTTTCACCACTCATCCCACAGCCACTGATTAAGAACAGCGATCCACCATCACACCAGCACTCCTTCATTTCAATTTGAAAAAATGCCTGGTGTCCTGAAAGCTAAACTGCATGAGAGCAAGTCCCTGCAAAGTGCTGAGTTCCCAAGATTTAAGAAAAACCCTAAATAAAACAAGAAACCATGGTAAACTGAATTTCGCAGAAAGGTCTGTTTTCTTTTACGCCAGCAAGTGGCCAAAGGACGTGAGAGATGGGAGAAGTCTCCAATCAACCCACCAAAGCAAACATTCACGCTTCGGTTTGGAATGTGGCTGAACTCACCCTCGTTGGTGATGAGTAGTGACATTTCTTTGACAAGCCTGAATTGTTTGCAGTACCTGCTGATGCGAGTTCTAGTGACAAAACCGTACTCAACTTGTACTAGATAGAGAGACTGGCAGACAAAGAGAAGCATGCCACAGTGCAGGCATGGCAGGTAAAAATAATACCAAACAAAGCCATGATAAAATCCCTTTGGTTTCAACACATATCTAAAAAAAATTGAATTGGCCATTGTTTTTTCTTAGGCTAGGGACAATACATACAAATAAGGGCAAATGAGCACCTGGATACCTGGAAAATGGCAATGCACTGTAATTTGCTCACATACCTTGCTACTACATGCCACGAGTGCCACCAAGGCATTCACACATGCAGATAAATAGCAGGAGGTGTTTATTAAAAGAACATTTTGTCCTTGATTTAAACACAATAGCTCCACTCAGGATGGCAATGGGGGTGGAGAGCTTTGTTCACAGGGTACAACAGCAGCCTCGCTGGCTCTGGGGAAATGTATAAGGCCAGCCTTGTTCTAAAGAATTTGGGGCTTTTTTTCCACTCATATGAGCACTTTGCCCAGGGGTAGGAGGAAAGGCAGGGGCGTAGTCATGGAGAGGAGCCGCTGGTAGCTCTAAGAGTTGCAGTCAAATAGGAGAGGCACCTAAGGCAAATATCACCACCACAAACCAACGCCTCTCTTGGTCCAGCGAGCAGCCTCACTCAGGTGCCTTCACAGGGTAACCTTTTTGTCACGCCTGATGAGTGCCTCCCATGGTATATAAACTGCCCCAACAAGGAAACAACCCATATTCAGCACAACAGAGGCTATCCCAAAATGAAGGCTTTCCTTATCCTCCTGCTGGGAGCAGTCCTGTGCTTGGACTCAGGTAAGACAGCATGGAAAGTCTACCCTGCATCCCCTCCAGCAGATCTTCAGCTAGGAGAAAAGACTTGTGATGAGGTTTGGCAGTGAGGGAAGAAGCGCTGATGTAGTTGTCGTATGAAAACATTTGCTTTTTGGTGGGATGTCCTGGGTGTTGCATGGGAAAAACGCATAGTCCCACTCTGCTGATGGTGTGATCCTAGTGCCAGGTAAAGCAGCTTCTAAAAAGGATAAATCCTATACAAAATTGAAATTATTTTATGGCAAATTTATTTA